TTCAAGGTATACATGGGGGATAAAGAATTGATTAAAAGCCATCTTAGTTACTATTTCCACAAGGTGGATGCAAAGATGATTCAGTGTGGAAGGAAATCCTCATTGAATTTTGCAAAATTTGAAAGCCTACAAGAAAGAAAAAAATGCAGCCCAACGCGTGAGATTTTCTCTATTGTGGGGTCTAGGGAGGGTTAAAAGTGTGCACTATTAACTCTGCATGCGAACTCTCCACGTGCGAGGATTCTCTTTCTGAAACTGGAACCGCAATGTGCCAGATCACAGCGCACCGAACTTAATTACTGCACCAAGACTCACCCTAGGTGAGGAACAAAACCTGTATCTATCATTGAATTTTCCTTGACATACATAATGAGGAGAAATCGAGGCCAACCAAGAGCTATATGGTATTTGGCCCCACCTCCTATTTAAACCAATTACTCTTTCTCATCATGTTCAATGTAGGACTACACACACATATAAACATTCTTAACAATCTCCCCTTTCATTTGTGAGTAAACCGACAACCATGGCGAGCGACATAGCTACCACATCCATAGGACCTTGCAAGTTCCAACATATGTGGTGCACCATACGTTGACAAACTAGACTTTTATCTATACAAGCAACAATCTAAGGGCAGTCATGACATGCCAACTATCGTTGGATGTTCAATATTTGTGCGTCTTCCACCCCATGTAAAATGAAGTTGACCTTAGTCAACTTCCCTACATACATGTTTAGGCTTCATTGGACTTTACTTTCCCTTGGGCCACAATCTTGAGCACGACACCACTTGATGGGGGAAATTGAGCCCAACCAAGAGTCAACGGAGCTTTAATTAAATATAAGCTAGGAATGCAATTTAGCCGAAAAACTTGAGCTATTAGCTATTGATCCCAACTCTTCTTTATACTCATTACTCTTTCATATCATATCTAGTAGAGGACTATACTCACATATGAATCATTTGCAGTCTCCCCTTTCATTGGTGAGTAGAATTAGTAACCATGGAGTGATAACATGACTACTAATATCCGTAGGGTCACCATGTGTAGACTAATTAGATCATTGTCTACATCGTAAACCAACCATGCGCAGCGGCCATGACATGTCAAACTAAACTTGAATTAACCAAGAGGTGATGAGCCTTAAATAGAGACTCTGAATCAAATTTTAACCCAGAAACTTAAATTATTAGGTACGTTCTTTAATTCATTTTTAAACTTACCATTCTTTCTCATTTTCCCTAGGAAAATAAGGTACTGTTCTCGAATACGAGACTGTACTCATATATTAATTCTTAACAATACTCATCCAAAAAATCATCCTTCAACGGCAAGTAAAAACCGTGAAAGATTCAAAGCTAGGATTTTTGGTGGGAGGGGGGAAAAAAAGAAACCAACCGAATTAGGGGAGAAGATCGCCGCCGGCGGCGGCACAGAGAACGGTGACATGGACTCTCTCCTCGAAACCGCTGAGCTTGGCAGATTCGCTCCAAGTTGAAGTGAAATACGAAAAGACAGGCGTCGACTTACTTGAAGACTATTAAGCGGCGAAGATGGACATTGGTCTTGTTGGATTATTTTTAGTTAATATTAAAAATCAAAGTTTAGGATGCTTAGGATGAGGAGATTGAGATGGACCTCAATTAATTAGTCCATGTTTTTAGCTGGTCAAGTTTGTTATTTGATGGCAACATGATCAGGATGTTTAGGATGAGACACGGAGATGATCTTATAAAGTGATTGGGCGTTTATTGACCAGAGGTATAATCGTATCTCAGATAATGGAAAAGAGATTGGACAAACATAGAGTAAATTCACACTTCCATTGAAAAGCTCGCAACTAACTAATAAATATAAAACCAATTTTTTTTTTTTACTTAAAGATGCACAACATCAATTTGAGTTCAAACTCTATTAAGCCCATATGGTTTCATCTGCGAATCTATTAAGTCCCCGTGGTTTTTTTCGACTCTATTAAGCCCCTGCTGGCGTTATGGTTTCATATATATATATATATATTATATATATATATATATAATATATATATATATATATATATATATATATATATTATATATATGAGAAAAATGGTTATGCTTGCGTACCGAGTACAAATTTGGTGCTTAGTACTTAGATGTCACATTTTCATCCAGTCATTCACAAAAACTCCTCAACCCATTGTGGTGTGGGTCCCAATTTTAATGAGTGGAGGGTAATGTGACACCTCACTACTAAGCACTATTTTTTATGCTTGGTACCAAGCATACACATTTTCTCTCTCTCTCTCTCTCTCTCTCTCTATATATATATTATATATTATATATTATATTATATATATATATATATATAATATTATATAAATTTTTAGAGTTTGTGAGGATATTATTGTTAACAAAATAGTTTTAGGACATAAATGATTACTTCTTGCAATCAGTCCGTAGAAATATATAGAGTTATATATATCATTTAGGGGTGGCACTAGGAGCACACCCCCAACCACAAACCTCAACCACACTCCCTCTCTTATTTGCTACAGTACACCAGACCCCACATGAGATTTTAAATTTTAAGATCCCATGTGAAGCCGGTGTACTGTAGCAAATAAGAGAGGGGGTGTAGTTCAGGTTATGGTTGGAGGTGTGCTCTTATCATTTTCCATCATTTAGCGTTTGAGGATATTATTGTTAACAAAATAGTTGAGGACATAAATGATTACTTCTTGCAATCAGTCCGTAGAAATATATAGAGTTCGTGAGGGCATTTTTGGGGAAGTGGGACCGGGCGCCTGTCTCCTTTTTCTACAGCTTGTTGGCCCGCAAGAGTACGGCTATCCTTAAATTCTAGTCCACGGCGACAACGACCTGCAGCCAATAATAGATGTCAAGGGGTATTTCTGGAAATAAAAACCTAGCAATTTGTGGCATTAAAAAAAAGGTCATGACGTCACGTGCTTGTGTAAGAAAGTAGTAATAAAACTAAACTGGCAGAGATCTCAGGTATTATCAAAATATACAAATCACTTCCGAATAGGGAATAAGCACTGTTTGGTGCGAAGCTAGGTTGCGACTGCCTTTTTTTTTTATGTAACTGAGACGTAACGACTGTTGTTGCGTATAATTGTAATTGTAATTATTTGATTCAATTTTTATATTTTAACACTTTCAGTTGCAGCAGTTTAGTTTTGCTTGTAACTTCTCATATGTAACTTGTTTTTTATTTTTAAAAAATTTAAAAATTATGAATTGAATTAAAATAATATTTTTTAAATTTCTTTTTGAATAAATGTTTTTTAAAGTAGACGTTTTCATAAAAATAATGATTTTTAAAAAATAATAATATTTTATCAAAAAAATATTTTAGTAAGCATAATCATTTTGGTAACATTAATATTTTGAGTAGACTAGTATACTTCACAAAATTGTTACTGAAAAAGGGATATTTTTGATAAAATTTTCAAAAAAATAATATCTAAAAAAAAGATTTTTGAAAAAAATAATATTTGTCGTAAAAACTAATATTTTTGGAAAACCAAATATATTTTTAGAAAAATAATTTTTGGAAACTTTTTTGGAAAAGGAAAATGTTTTTAGGGGAAATAATGTTTTGGAAAGAATATTATATATGCACGAAAAATGTTAAGATGTATTCCATACAATATCTCGTGTTTGAGTAATATCAAACTCTCATTTGGTACTAATATTTATTTAAGATAATATAATACAGGTAAATACAGGTGTAAGTGAAAACACCCTAATGCCACTAGGAAGGAACCCTAGAGGGGGATGAATAGGGTTTATGCTAATCTAATCTGATTTATGCTAAATTAAAAACTTATTAACAAATATCCTAGCAAATAAGATATGCAATGAGATATATGTAAGGATAAGCAATATAAACAAGGGTAAACAAATAGCGTAAACAATATAGTGGACAAACTAAATAATGAGACAATGGCGATATGAGCAATGAGCACAAGTATAAATGAACGCCAATGCAAACTCAAACACAATTAAATGATCACGGAGTTCGGACCTTCCGTCCTACGTCTCAGCTCCCCACTCCCGAGGAGAAATCCACTACACAACCGGGTTTTTAACGCTCACCCGAATAACGTTTTACAGCTTACAACTTGGTTTTCTAGCTCACCGAAAACTTTACAATCACTCACAATGTAAACACACTAACTACCACCTCAAGTGTTGGTCTCTAGCCCGTGTCTCCCTCAAGTGTTAGGAATTATAACCACTCTCTAAGCATTACCACCTACCCTACTCCTCTTGGGACGACCCCGTCTCTCACCACACACTCCTCTTGATGTACTAGTATAATACAAAGTGAATCTCACAATTTAGACACTCAACAAATGACTGTTCTCTAAACAATGTGAGAACTCAATTAAGCACAATTCAAAGTTACAATCTCTCATAACCCTAATTATACTATGTATGAAATACTATAAGCTCAAGTGGGTGTGTGTAACAATAAGATTTAATAAAACAAAATCAAACTAAACTCAATTATGAACTTCTAACTTATAGAGATGATAATCAACAAACAATGCAAATACAAAGCTAGAAATTGAGTTTAGAAAACTTCCCTATGGATAACAAGAGAGAGGGAGAAGAGTGAATGCTCAAACACCAATAGATGATCTCCACTTGCTCTTGTGAAATTGTCTTCACAAACAAAACACTTAAACAAGGCTTAAACACCTTTAAACAAACTAAACAAACTTTTAAAACCCTTGTAAAACTTTTCTTTTAAGTAAATAGAACTGAGGATATGTGAGGGTATTTATAGGAACCCCAAAGCCAAGAGAAAACAAGGCAAAAAGACCAAAAAACTAAACTGTAAAAGGCTGAAAAAACTAGCCGTTATTCCATCAGTCGACTGACGACTTTTATCAGTCGACTGATGAGCTGACCGTTAGAGGCGTTTTCTAGCTCATTAGTTGACTGACGGACCTTATCAGTCGACTGGTCAGTCGGCCAAAACAAAACAGAAACTATTTGTTGTTCCAGACGATTTCTTCAGTCGACACATCAGTCGACTGATGTCATCAGTCGACTGATAATAGGTTATTAGCCTGTTTTGAAACAAAAATCTGATTTTCAAACTGCTTTTAAAAATAGCAAATAAAATTAGAAAAATATAAAACTTTGAAAAATAATTATAGACATGATAATAAACATGTTACAAAAACTGGTTTTCAAAAATCACCTCCCATTAGTAAAATATCATCAATTTTCAAATATGTCCAAAACATGAAAACATGAGATACTTGAATTTTGATGTTTTGACATAAGCCAAGTTTTGAAACTTTGTAAAATACTTTTATAGACTTGATAAAAAGTATAAACTGTATTTGGTAAGTCTATAAACCATATAAACCAAGAACATAATATTTTTTTCAAATACAATAGAATATGAAACATATAAAAGTATATATGAAGATATATATTGTTACATATCTATATAGCTAAACCAAAACATATAAACCAAGAACACAATATTTTTCCAAATACAACAGAATATGAAACATATAAAAGTATATATGAAGATATATATTATTTCATATCTATATAGCTAAACCAAAACATATATGTATATATATATATATATATATACAAAAACCAAAACGTGTATGTGTGTATATAATTGAGCTTAAAGTACTAACACACATAATATAAAACCTAAACTAAATTACCCAAGCTTGATGATCTTCAACGAAGCTCTATCTTGGTACACTTGCGGATGAAGCTTGACTTGGATCTTTAACATGAATTGCAAGGCTTCAACCACTACTC